TTGACAGAGTTCAGGGGCGCGGCCAAGAGGAGGACAAGAGGAGGACAGCCACACAGAGTTGACAGAGTTCAGGGGCGCGGCCAAAAGGAGGACAAGAAAAGGACAAGGCCAAGCCACAGAGCCCACCCACAGAGCCCAGCCACAAAGTTGACAGAGTTCAGGGGCGCGGCCAAGAGGAAGACAAGAAAAAAACAAAGCCCAGCCACAGAGTTGACAGAGTTCAGGGGCGCGGCCAAGTGGAGGACAAGAGAAAGACAAGGCCCAGCCACAGAGCCCAGCCACAGAGCCCAGCCACAGGGCTCAGCCACAAAGCCCAGCCACAGAGTTCAGGGGCGCGGCCAGTGAGTGTGGCCAGCTCTTTTCTTTCTAAGATAGAACCCCAACAGTAAACTGTTTGGGGAAAAAGGAACAAACAAATCCTCACGGCGCGTCTCCTCGTGCGTCCTCTTGATCAGTTTCCTCTGCGACAACGCGCCCTTGCCCCGTGCATTGCCATGCAAAAATCACAGTTGATGAGCTCACGGAAAAACTGATCGTTTCAGTGCCAAGATTCGCCAGAATCCGTCAAGCCATCACAGGATTCATAGTCCACTGAATTGTTTCGCTTTGCCACCTGAAAACTTCCTTTGGAAGTCTCCGCAGCCACTCCCCACGAGAGGCTGTGTAGAAGCCTGCCTTGAACTGGAAAGGACAGTGGGGCAGTGTACAAAATGTCGCCCGCACGGATCAATTCGCAATCATTGCGGTCATTTCCTTCAATGTCAAATTTGCAATGGTTCTCTGTTGCACCTGAAACAGCTGAGGAAGCAAAGCCAATGACCATTGTTTCATTGGTGAAATTGGTGTTGCAATCCCTTTCTTTTACTTTGCCTCCATGAACTTGTTGCAAAATCGTCAAGGACATGACCATAGCCCTGCAGCCTCCACTGTACAATGTCCGTGGCATGTCCAGTTCATCGTCTACACCAATGAACAACCCACGGGGATACAATTTGAGGAAGGTGCTCTTCAACGTCGTTGGCATGCAAATTCTCGTGTGCTTGGCAATAGCTTCTTCAATGTTGTTGAATTCATTATTGTTCTGGTTTTCAATGACCAACAAAGATGCCAAAGAAGCCGTGTAGCTCGAAATCGTCACCAACATGAAGAAACTGAATGCTAAACTGAACACTCGGAAAGGCCATTCGAGTGATTGTTTGCGGTGTGGACGCCTCGTCGTGAGTTCGCCCAACAAAAAGTCAGTGATGATGGTGGCCGCGATAAAGCCCAGTCTGGTGTACCACTGATACTCGTACCAATGGTCTTGGGCCTCTTGCGCCAAATTTAACTCGGCGCCCGCGACCCACAGAGTCAAGGCCAAAACGATCAAGAATAGGCCCACCTGGACATCCGAGGCAAACGACATGAAGCGACTGTCGATCGAGCGACATCCCTGTTTTCAATCTTTTCGGACTCACTCCAAGGGACCAGCGCCCAAGCACCCGCGCTAAAGGGAAGGAATGGCCGCCCCAGTCGATCCCAAAATGTTACCTTGCACAAAACACAAACTGTGATTTGTGGTATAAAACTTTACAAAGCCATCAACGCAAAAACCCTATGCGCAAGTTTGCGTGACTGAAAAATGACTTTTATGTCATATGTCACTGCAAATCCTGGTGTGGTCCTGGCTTGTTAGGTTTACAGGCAAACATGTTAGAATCTTGGCCCGGTAAGATTGTTTTCGTCTCCACTAGCTAAAGGGCCCTGGGATTGAACCCAAGTTGCGTGTCATACCCTGCCAGCTGTACAAAATACAAACGAATTCAAGAAATCACACCCGTCTACAGGCTTGACACGTGGGCTGGGCAGCAGTGCTTTGTACATTGCAAGATATTGCAAGGTTCATGCATATTGGGCTGACCGATTCCACTTGAATGAAAATCTCACACACCAGGCGCCAGGAATGAATTCTGGAACCTGCCTCTCATGAGGTCTCGATGCCACTGATCACACTGCCTCGCCGCTCACCAGTACTCAGAGCAAGTAGTCCGGCCGCGTGGACGTTACTGTTAGAGACAATCTGCAAGTTGCCTGCCAGTATCAATCCATTGAAACATCTCTGCGCGCCCTGTCTCAAGCCCGACATTCCAAGACGCTTATCTCGGACTTTGCGCATCGCTTCAGCGCGCAAGTGATCGCTGAGTGAACAACAGTCACACACAGAGATGCGTCCTTTTCTTTTGGCTTTCCTCGCGCCGCAAATGCGGCCAAGCATCTCATACCCATAGGGCGCGCGCTTCTGCCTGACGCGATGCTCTGCGCACTCTCTTCAAGGTTGAGGAGCTCCATGAGATCAAACGCCTCTGTTGGTGAGGTAGCGAATTCTCCTTTGGTTCATTTGCAACGCTCGCGTCTGAGAAGCTCACAATCATCAGGATCATCAGGTCACTCGAGTCAATCCATTTTTTTGCAATGCAATCTTGAAACCTTGGGCATAACCGTTTGCATACTTCAATTTCAGCACTGTTGCCTTCACGCTGCATGGCCCCTGCACTTAATATTCACCTTGAAGCAAGAGAGTCAAGTTTTCCGTACCTTCTCACCCATGCCAGAGAACCAACCGCACTCCGCAAGGAAGGAAACTCTTCTGGGGTCGCGACGTCTGTCATCTTTCCCGACTGCGAATTTGTCATCCAACACTGTCTGTACTGCATCCTTCCTTCTTATAGGTAGTAGCAGGGCGAATCTTGAACCAGAGCAAGGGCGGCGACGAGACTACGTTTGGCGGAAGCAACTGTCACGCGAGACTGTACGCACAGCATCTGGCTAGGAGGAAGCGCGGGGCAGGCCAGGCGAGCGGTGCCCAGAAAGGCCACCGGGCTACTTTGCCCTCAGTGATGATGGAGCCAGTGGGTCTGAGGACGTCGAGCGGACAATGTCAGTGACAGTTTCAGTGTTGTCTCACAGGACACGCGCGGTCGAGGATGTTCTTGATCGTATCCACCCACTTGGATCGCGCAACGCTATGGCTTTCCCTGAGACACTGTCCAGAATCTGCTGCGTAGCCAAGGAGCAGCTGCTGCGCTGCCTCTGCAAGGTCCTCTTTGCGCGTAGGTCTCGTCAGTCTCACATTCCGTAACACGCAGCAGCCAATGCCATAGCGGTCCCGGAGTCCTCAACATGCATAGTCCCATTCGGAATCTTCTGAGTCGTGCTGGGCACCAACATAATTACCCATGTTCGACGATTTGTTCGGGTTCTGGTTTTAACGGTTTCAACGTTCGAGGCGATAAAGATCTGCCGCTAACTGCAAATATCCCAATACGCTACGCGAGGATTCCCTTGGCCCTCCCTTCTGTACGATGTTGCGGTAGTAGAAGCTAGTCTGTGGCGCAGTGTGCAGGAGCACGGGGCTCACGCAGGTGGATCTTTCCATGGTGTTCCAACAACACTGCATTAAAGGCATCAAAGGTCGATTTGCTCTTAGCCAAAGAAGTTCTCCACGCATGGCGTCGCTGATCGCCATGGTGGAATCCCGTCAACGCCTTCTCCTCAAACACTCTCCCCACGCTGCAGACTCAAAGGCCCAGTGATCAGCTGGCCAATGCGGCCTTACCTTACCTTGCTGATCAACTGCTCAACTCCATCTTCCTGCATTAACACAGCAACTCCCGAGCAAGTCGTCACGTCTCAAGCCTTCAAATGCCTTCTCCAACTCAGCGCGTAAGAGCTCAACTTCTGACGTCACCTTCTCCACGTCCAATGCGTTCAGCGTGGTTCAGCCATCATCTCTTTTGCGTTCAGCCATCCTGAATTCCCATGCGTGGAATCTGGCCGGCTCCCCGGCGCGATCAACCAAGCTCCAACGCAACTCTGGTGGGCAAAGCTGCAAAAAAAACAAGTCCTAGGTCGGCGAGCCGCTGTGAGAGCCCGGGCTGGGAAACGCTCTCCAGCGCCGGCTGCTACCAGTTTGAATCTTAAAGGTATAGGTTAGCGCGCGTCAATACACATCATACCCTGGTACGTATGTCTCATTGTTTGCCTGCACCCTACATGCGGCTCAAGACCCCGTATGCTTTACAAAGGGTCCAAGATGGTTCAAGTAGAAGGTAAGGCGCGCAAAAACCTGCCTTCAACTTGTCTGCTATAGCCTTGCAAGAAGGCAACTACCCCAAGCATTTCGCACCGACCACCTTAAAGCTTCAGGCCAGCGCATTTCAGCGTATCACTGCCCCTTCCGAAGCCATACATAATGAGGTCTATGTTCGGACGGTTGCAATCCGCTACACTCTACCTTTTCAGCTTACACGCGCTGCACTCTGATCCACAATCGCACCACGTGCTGGAGCTCAAAATTCTTGAGAATCATCACGCGTGTTGGTTTGAATGACCCAGTTAACCTCCTGGCCTACCTAGACTTTTGTTGGTTCGGTTTCTTTGTTGGCTGGGTAACAACTGGACGGGACAGGGTTGAGAGGAGTGCGCAAAAACAAACAAAAAATAGCGCAAACACAGAAAAGCGAGCGCGCACAAAGCAGGAAGCAGCAAAAGCCAAGTAAAGTAAAGGAAACCAAGCAAGCAAGCAAGCAAGCAAGCAAGCAAGCAAGCAAGCAAGCAA